CCTTTGTTTCATTGGGAGAGCCTTTGTTTCAAAGGCGAGCGTCCAAGTCTGGTGCGTAGCTGATGCGAGGGGAGACGCGGGCAGTGGCCAGGCCTCCCTCTCGTTGTCCCTCATCCCCTTTTTGCCCCTTGGAACCCTGAATTGTCTCCTGGAAACTTCATATTTGAAGCTGCAAGAATGATGTCGAAAGCCAAACATTGTAAACAGTTACACTTACTAGCTACAATGGGCTTTAATTTTCTCACCTATGAAAATGACGGTAGTAATATCTACTTGGTGAATATTAGCAAAGACTTGTTTAAAGTGTCAAGCACAGTACCAAACCTAAAATGACCTTCAACAAGTGTGAACTCCCTGTTTACACAGTAGTCCCCCTTACCCACGGTTTCTCTTCCTGTGGTTTCAGTTACCCGTAGTCAACTGTGGTCTGCAAATATTAAGTGGAAAATTTCAGAAATAAACAATGCCTGTTTTAAATTTGCACCTTCCTGAGCGATGACACCTCAGGTTGTCCCAGGACGTGAATCATCCCTTCGTCCCCTGTGTCCACGCTGCACGTGCCCCCGCCCTTCAGCCATGTCGTCGCTGTCTTGATTTCCATATTGGTTATTCGAGGCCACATTCACAAACTTGTATTAAAGTATATTGTTGTAATTATTCCATTTTATCATTAATTACTATTGTTATCTCTTCCTGTGACTAATTTATAAATTATACTTTATCATAGGTATGTATAGGAAAAAACATAATATATGTAAAGCTCAGTACTATCTATGGTTTCAGGTATCCACTGGGGGTCTTAGAACATATTCCCTTCAGAAAAGGGGACACTAATGTATAAATAGTAGTCATTGTGCTCCTGGTGAAGGTTCAGGATCATGATCCCTGGGCCACACCAGGGACAAGGCCTGAAAAGGAATGACACTGATGCTGTGATTACTGTCAGAATCCACAAGGGAAGCTAAAGACTAAGCCAGAGGCTGCAGGATGGACCTGGCCCTTCCCCACCACTTGCAAAAGAGCAGCTACTGACACCACTGGACTCTCCCAGGCCAAATGCCCTGGGCTGCCTCTACAGAGAGATTGTTGAACTTAGTCTATAGAAGAGCTATCCCAATGGGTTAAGGGGGAAAAATTATGTCATTTTGCCAGCAAGCAATTACAGTGAGCCCAGAGCATGCCTGCCCCTAACCATATGAGGTGTTTGGTGGATGTGGTACAGGCCCACAGAGAAACCTTTCCATAGTGCCCCCCAAAATATCTATTGAAAGGAGATTTAAGCAAATCCAGGAGGCTAGGGCAATTACAGACTAGGCTATACACCAGCCATGAGGATTGCACCTCCTCGAATCCACATACAACTTGATTATAACTTGAAAATCTTTTTCTAGAAAATGGCATCCAATTGTTCTCTTTGTAACCGACGGTTGCTCTCATGTCTCATCTTTCCACTTTCCAAGATACAGACTATGTTCAAAACAGCGCATTTTAGGTTGTTGCTACATAAAGTTTACATTAGTAACATTATTCAAAGATTTTTTCAAATCAAGAGCAAAGAGTGGGAAGTTCAGCCTAATGTGTTTTGTGTGAATTCCTGGAGATGTGTTCAGGCAGAGGCAAGTGGTCGTGTGGCCTACACATGAAGGTGTCCATCATTCCAAGGAGAGACGTTTTCGGGGATGACAAAGAAAGAAAATGATAACGTTAGGAAAGCTTCCTTAAGAAATTTCTACTGGTTAAACATTCACTGGCTACAAAGCCACTCTCTGCTCTTACACAGTGCTTCCGCCCTGGTTTCAGCCCACATCCAGGCCTCAGTCTTTGCCTAAAGCCCTAAATTATAGGTATTATTCAAAGAATGATATGTAAGCACAAAGGTCATCAACATGCCTAAGAAAAGTATCTTTTAAGGTGTGAAAGTGGAAGTAGTATGATTTGCTTCACAAATTGTAAACAGGGTCTCTTCTGTTATGATTCTAATGAACTTCAATTACCTTTATAGGCTATGGTCCAAGAGCTCCCCCTGGGGGTTCTTTGCCTCCCTGCAACTCCTCGCACGGCCCGCAGTGGGCAGGGTGGCAGGGGGAGAGGAGCTGAACGCACACAGGCTGATCTTGGCGGCGCTCCACTTGGTTTCAGCTTCCTTATCTGCGAAGTGAGCAAATTACTCAGGAAGGTCTCTGAAACACCTTCTAGCTTGAAAATTTTATCTAAAATTTAAAATCTTGTGTATGGATAAAAAAAATCTAAATCAACTAGTTTGTTGAAGATTTTGAAAGGACAAACTTTTATTTGTTGAATAAACAAATCTTCCCTGAGTTCCAGGAAATGTACCCGGCAAAAGAAAACTAGCTCAGTGGTTCTAAGTCTCCGACTTCTTGTCTATAGACGAGTCTTCAGTAAATAATATGGGAAAAACAAATAATTGATAAACTACCTGACTCAGGGTCCCCAGATTTGGATAAAGTCATTTCTCCAAACTTTACTGTGTTTTGTTCAGCTTTACTGGTGAGTAGACCATGCCTGGATGGGCTGAAAGAAATTATGGTGAAACAGCAACCTTTTTTAGGGGAAACTCATTTGATTATCGCACATCTCCAACTGGTCATCGGTACGGCAGGACCTGTGCATCCTGGAGGCTCTCCCTGTCAATGCTGGCTGCGGCAGAAGTAACGCCTGCTTAAGTGTGGTTAGCAGGGTAATAATAATATGGGTGTAATCATTTAGAGTTTTAATTTGAACATTTCACCTAAAATGTTACATGGTGTACTTGAGTGTGATATTGCTATGTTACAGAATTACATGCTTACACTTTTGTAACAGAAGATTTTGTAATAAAATAGGGGCATCATTTGTGCCAGACCCTGTACCTATCTCCACTGCAGAGGGAACTGGAACCTGAAACACCTGGGTTATCAGGGGCCCAAACGGCGACGAGGATGCCATAACATGGCTAGCTTTAGGAGCTGTGAGGCAGGGAAACCCAGTTCACATTAGCCAGACCTGGTTGTCTATAAAGTACCCTCGATGTGCAGAGAAATACAACTTCACATCGACTTCTAACAGGTCTACCCTGCTGAAAAACCCAGAATCTGTTTTTCATCAGCAGCTCTTGCCTTCAGCTTGGGCTGGTCTCACACATCTCCTGCTCCTGCTTCTTCCACCACAAGGAGGTGCTGGGCCGAGGCAGTGAACGTAGAGGCTCCTTGAAATTCTTCCCCCACAAGATGTCCCCGCAAGACCTATTACAGAGCTGCTGTGGTCAGTAAATTTGGCAAAGCAGCTACCTCCTTCAACTGAAGATTCACAATAGACATTAGTCTATTAAATGACCCTAAGAAGTTTAAAAGCAAAAAGAGAAAGGGGCAAGGTTGGAGGTTGGCAGTTGGAGAAGGAGATTAAAATCCTTATTCAGCTATTAAACATCTCTGTAGTATAAAAAAACTTATTAATCCCTGCCAAATTGGAGTTCTGCAAATGTTCCCACTTGGGAAATACCGGATCAGATGATCACTGAAATTATCCTAATTTTGACATTTCTAAGTTCTATTTATGTATCTTCTAAAGCACAGTACTGGTCGTACCCCTCCCATGCCCAGAAATGCCCTGCGGCACTCTCCTGCTCGTAAATTCCAAATTTCTTGGCACAGCGGTCAAGATCTGAGTCTGGCTCTGACTTCTTCTCCAGTCTCGGTTCCCTTCCTCCCATCCAGGGTCTCTGCTCCTTCCAAACAGGGCTTCCCCGGGCTCCACCGTCTCCTGACTGTTGCTTTCTCACCTCTGGGTCCAGTTTAAACACTTTCTGTAGTCTTTGCATACACAAATGCAGCCCACTTGACTCAGTTCAGACCCTCTCCCCCACAGTGGTCTCTTCTCTAACCTGTATTTAGAGCTCTTATTGAGGGCTGTTACACTAGACAAGGTACTGAGCTTCTTGTACTGCTGTATTCTGTACCTCCCCACAGGCTTCTTGGAAGAACAGCTGCATACACGGTTGCCTTGCTTGCACATAATGTGTGTTTATGACAAATGGCCGATGTGATCCAACAGGAAACCCCCCCAGAATAGAGAGAACAATGGTCTCAGGGACCCATCCCACTCTGGCTCTGCCATCAGCAGGGGGCACTCAGGCTGTGTGCCCGAGGCTTGAGTGTACTCGGCTTCAGAGACAGAGAAAGGCTGGCAGAAGCCACAAACCTCCCAGAACTAAATATTCTGAGATTCTCTTGAGTTATAATCCACTTTACAAAGAATTTGAGACAATCTTACAGAATTAAGGATAGAGTGAAAGAGAAAAATTAGTGACCAAAAACAAACACCACCCAGACTAGAGGTCTATTTGAGTTTTCAGAGGAAAAAAAAATTATTCCAAAAAAAGAATCTCCAACATTAGGGCCTTAGGGATTATCGTAAGAGACTAAGGGAAAGATACTTTTTTAGTTTGAAAATTATCCTGAGTTCTCAAAATTGTCCACATAAATGACTACTATTTTATAAGGTACAGCGGATCTTAAGTATATATGTTTACAGCTCATCTCTGCAGAAAATACTTACCTTGCAGATTAACCAACAAACAAAACACCAGTTCTCTAATGCAGGGGTTATCAAGATGTGCTCTCCGGAGCAGAGGCATCGGCAATGCTTGGGGCCTCCTTAGAAACATAGATTCTCAGTCCCCATCCCAAACTTCTTGCATCAAAAACTCTGGGGATAGGGCCAGGAATCCGTGCATTAACAAGGCTTCTAGGCAATGCTGATGCACAACGAAGTTCGTGTGTGATTATATTTCAAGCTAAACATGTTATCGCCTGTGTCTATCAACTCATCTGTCAAAGACACAGACATGCGGTTCTCTCTTCACTCCAGTCTGTTACCACTGCCACACAGCCCACTTCAAAATGGGGCAACAGCAAATAGAGCTGGCCTCTTGCCTTTGACATCTTCGAGTTCCACTGCTCAAGCCTCCACGTATTCATTGGCATCTGCCCCGTCTCTTACAGCTGATCAAGCTGATGCCTGCAAATTCCTGGCCTGTGGCGAGTTTGCCCAGTGTGTGAAGAATGAGTGGACTGAGGAAGCAGAGTGTCGCTGCAGACCAGGGCACCTGGACCACCAGCAGGAACGGGGCCTCTGTGCCCCAGGAGAACAATGTGAGGCCGTCCAGGCAGAGGGAGCTCCGTGCAGGTGGGTCGAGCACACTCACTTTAGAGACCCAAGTATGTGTCATTCGTAATTCTGAGAAACCTATCCCATTCATATGGTCCTTTAAAGACGTGGTTCTAAACCCTGGCTGGTGTAGCTCAGTGGATTGAGCGTGCGCTGCGAACCAAAGTGTCGCAGGTTTGATTCCTAGCCAGGACACATGCCTGGGTTGCAGGCCATAACCCCCAGCAACCGCACATTGATGGTTCTCTCTCTCTCTCTCTTTCTCCCTCCCTTCCCTCTTTAAAAAATAAATAAAAATAAAATCTTTAAAAAAAAATAAGTTAAAAAAAAAGCCGTGGTTCTCAAACGTCAGTGGTGCCAGCATCTCCTGGAGGAGGACTTGCTAAAGCACACATGCCAGGCTCTGCTGGGCCCTGTTCCTGACTCAGAGGACTGGGGAGGCACTGGGAAGGCTAATACCACTGGTGCAAAAGCCATGCTTGGAGACCACTGCTTTAAGCCTTTCCACAACATTTCATGAAGACCAATAAGGAAAGAAAAAAGAAGCTGCATCAGCTTGAAGGGAGAATACCACCTGGTTCACTACCTCTATCAGTTCATGTGTGTGAGACACTGGACTTTTTCCCTACTTGCAGACACAATAGTTTTCACAAGAAAATTGGAAAAATATAGAAAATTATGAGAAAAAAGATGAAAGTCACCTTATCTGCTATTATCTTTTGGTGGACATGTTTATGTAAAATGTTTATATAGAATTTTCTAAAGCAAAATGGAATCAGCCTGGCTTCTTGTTTTGTAGTCAGTCTTTTTACGTACGTCACTAAATATTTTCTGTAGCATCATTTGTGATGATTACATGGTAGTCCATGCTATAGATGTGCTACGATATGTTTAATCAATCCTTCCTTTTTGACAGAAAGGTTAACAGAAGCTCTTTGCAAGAAAAAAACGTGGTGATATAATTGGCCTTCTATTCATGAGTTGGACTGTAGGATGTAGGTTGCCTTATGAACAGAAAACACAAGTGTTTCTAATTCTTCTCCACATCCTGTGACACCCAGAGAAGGTCCACACTGTGGACTCTGCCCTCGAGAGACATCTGTGTGAGCCTGTCCTGCCTTTTGCCATCGTGAGCTTCCAATCACACGGACACTTCCTCGGTACCCATCACCTCAGACCTACATCTGTATTAGACTGTCCTGGAGTATTGTTGTTCTCGTATTCATTCCAGTGACCACGGTCCCTGATTTCCCACCCGGGACTTGTGGCAATCTTCCATACTCAGTCAGTAAGAAACAAGAAATTCAGCCTTTTTCTTGATGAAACATACCCGGTTCATTTAAAGTATTGACACTTCAAAAGACAACTATGTAACAGTTGTTAAAAAGCAATATTGTAGAGTCAAAGTGCAATTAAAAGTTTGGCTTAGCCCTGGCTGGTGTGTCTCAGCTGGCTGGAGCGTCATGCAGCAAACTGAAAGGCCACGGGTTCCATTCCCAGTCGGGACACGTGCCTGGGTTGCGGGTTTGGTCCCCCCAGTGGTGTGTATAAGGCAACTGATTGGTGTTTCTCTCCCTCTCTCTCTATTCCCCTCTCTCTAAAATCAATAAGCATGTCCTCAGATGAGGATAAAAAAATGTGACTTAGCAATTTACTAATCCAGTGACTTTGGGTAAATTACTTCTCTAAACCTCAATTCCCTCATTGGATAATGAGAGTAATAAAACCCACCTGCTGTGTCACCCCAAGGAATGTATGAAATTATGTTTATAAAGCATCTGTACAAAGAACACAGAGCACAGAGCATCCCTTCAGGCAAGTGCAGGTTATGATGATGCTGTCAGTGTTCTCCAAGTTGATCCCAATTAAAATCCCAACAGGATTCTTGGTGGAATTTGACATGCTGGCTCTAAAGCTCCTCTAGAAATCAAAATGTACAGGAGAAAATCTGAAAGTACAATAATAGGGAGGTTGCTCTGTCAGATACAGTACATAAAATAGTATTTAGGACATTAAAGTGGACACAGAGAGAGACAACACATTAACAGAACAAATACAAGCCCTAAGTAGACTCTTACATATTAGGGAATTTATTTTAACAAGCACTTCAAATCCAAAAGTGTTGGGAACCGCCCTGACTGGTATCAGAAGCTGAAACCCCCACCTAAGCTAAGGCTAAGGGAACGCCCTTGGAACCGTAAGCCAGCAAGGAGACAAAAGCTTATCTCTCTGGCAGGAATGCTGCTTCTGCTGCTTTATTCATAACTGAACCCCAAAAAGCTTGGTCAGTTAGCCAAAGACGGGTAAGATTCCCCAAGGGGGGAATGACCTAAGACAGGCACGATCACTTGGGAGGCCCCCCAAAAGAAGGACTTGGGGGGCTGCAGCAAAAGGGGGTGATGGACCCTTGCTCCTTGGCTTTGACATAGCCTGAGTCCTCATCATCTAGGAGAAAATCTCCTTATCTCTTGGTTGCCTTAGTTCCCTTGCTCCACCTAAGCCTGAAACAATGACAGGGTGGTGCAGCTCTGTGCTGAAAAGGGCGGATTCCAGGGGTGATCCGGTCTAAGAAAGAACATGTAAATTCCTGTGAAACCTTCTTTGTTTAGAATGCTCTCAGTTGAATGAGGGGTCCAAGGAGGAAGTTAGTTTGTTCCTCAAAGTCTTACAGCTCTTTGACCCCGACTCAAAATAGACCGGCAGAGTTCCTTGTTTTCTATAGTTCCTCACTTCCTGGTAATGAGTACCGTACCTGAATTATTATGCAGCATGAGCCCAATAAAAGCAGGTTTGGACGGTAAATCGGCGCACTCCCCACTAGGGGGGGTGGCCATTTCGTCCCTACTTCCCCACAGAAACTAGTTTGTCTCTGTGCATGTTTTTTCTCGCGTGTTTTTCGTCGAGCCATCCGCAGCATTCCGTGGTCACTGCTGGCCGGTGACCCGCGCAACACATAAGGGAAGTATGTCCTGGTCAATAATGGTTAAAGTGAAATGGGCCTTCCATTTAGAAAAAATCAAAATCAGTTTCTTTCTACATCTAAATCAATTCTATATCAAAGATTCAAACCTCAAATCAAAATGATGAAAGCGTAAGGAAAAATATTTTTAAAGGGTATTTCTGTAGTGCCAAAAAAGCCTTCCCTTATGAAGACACCAATCCCAGAAAACATGAAAAAGAATTCCATAGGGGACACAACACCCTAAAAAGTTGATGTATAAACGACAAGGTGAGAGAAAAACACTAACTACCTATCTTACATCGTGAAGGGTGAACACCAGCCCCGGCTGGGTGGCACAGTCGGCAGGAGCACTGTCCTGCGGGCCTAGGGGCGCGGGTCTGGCTCCCAGTCAGAGCACACACCTGGGCTGCAGCTTCGATCCCCCGTCGGGGCAGGTACGGGAGGTAACAAATCAATGTTTCTCTCTCACACTGATGTTTCTTTCTCTTTCTTCCTGTCCCTCTAAAATTAATAAACATATCTTTGGGCGAGGAGTAAAAAAATAATAACACTTAAAGTATGAACATCCATAACAATGAGTTTCTATGCATCAATAAGACAAGTATCTTAGTACTAAAAATGAGCAAAGAAATACAGAGGTGCAATTCAAAGAAGAAATCCAAATGGCCAATGAAACAGGAAAAGATGTTCAATCTCACTATGATATGGCAATACAATTTATTACTTATCAGTTTGGCAAAAAAAGGTCAATAACACCCAGTGTGGTAACATCAGGGAAAACTAGTTCTATCAAGCATTGCTGATAGGTGTGTAAACACTGGAAAAACTTTTTTGAAGAAATATTTGTCACTATCTATAAAAATTTTATTTTGACTCTCATAATCTACTAGGCAATTATTCCTGCAAAAATAGTTGCACCTGTAGACTAAAATATGTGTACAAAAATGCTCACATCATCATTGCTTTGAAAGGTGAAACAACTGTGCAGCCCCCCTACCGGGGTACAGTTCAACTGTCCATCCTGCGGTGTGCTAGTCCTTACAGAACACAGTAGTTAAAAGCAGTAACCCAACTCTCCTGGAGCTGTCAAAGGGAAAAAACGACATTAAATGAAAAGAGTGAGTTGCAGGATAACAGATCCTGTTTATGTAACAAGTTTATAACAAAGTTATGTATTTGTAATTATATCAAGTTCAACCACGTGGCATCACTATTTTGTCGGTAACAAACCATCAAACACTATATGGTTCAAGAAAACATGTAACTAAAAGCATAGCAAATACATGGAAAGAATCACTCAGCTGTGATTCCAGTAAACAGTGGCAAAGAGTGGAAAGGGGGTCCAAATTTTTAAATTATGAGAATATGTTTGTCTCACCTGTGTAATTTAAAAGCAGGGTGGGGTGGTGGGGTTGGAAGAAAGGGTGGGTGAACAAGGCCCTGGTAAGATGAGTAAGGAGAAGGGGGTTGCATGTGGCTTTTATGAGGTCATATATGCCATTTTTCTTTTAATGAACCCTATTTGCTGTTTCAGGTATCTGTACAGTTTGTAGTTTTAAATATGCCTCTTCCTGAAGAAATACCACTGTAATGCTCGGTTGTCCAGCCTATATGGAAGTGGACTGCTCTCGTGGAGGTTGCGGGGCTCTGCTCCCCGACCGGTGCCTGCCCCTGGGGGACAGTTACTATGACCTTCCAGTATTCAGACACACAGGAATAAGATGCTCCTTACACCACCTCAATTTGACAAACATGTTTGAGCACCCATGTGCTAGTCACTATGTCAGATGCTGGGTAGTAGATAAGAAGGAAGAAAGAAATTGAGGGAGAGAGGAAGGAAGAAGGGAAAGATACTCAATTTCCTTTAGCGGGGGACGGAAATCCTTACCATGAGGACCAGCCCCACCACGCATGAGTGGCTTCAGAGGGACTGTCAGTGCAGAAGGGACCTGAGCACAGAGGCGCCGAGAGTCCCTGCTGGATCCCCACCACCTGCTCTACCTCCCGTCAGCTATTCCTATTCTTCATAGATTAAGATTACAGGTTTTAAAGTTACTCCCAAGTTCAAATTCCAGAGCTACCCCTAACTAGTGAACTTGAGCAACATTTTCCCCTCTTTGAGCCTCAAATTTCTCATCTACATAATGGGGATAATAGGAATAAATTCACGAGTTTAGGTAAGGAATAAATGAGATGCTCCTCAGTGTAAACTCTCAGCTGCTGGCGTTATTGGAGCTGCTTGATAATTATTCAACAAAAGGAAGCCCTGAGAGAAAAACCAAGATTCCCTATTTGGTACTTAAACCTCAACTTGGAAGCAAACCAAGTAAGAACACTAACACTTTAACTCTGGAAGCAGCGTTCTCTAAAGAATTGTGAATTGCCTGCATTTCTGTTACTCTGCCTGACAGTGAAGAAATAAATAGGGGAATTATACTGAGAGCAAGGCCTCACTGAGATGAGTCCATTGACGCCCAAGGAGCGTTTTCCATTGGCTCCATTCTTTGTCAATCTACCATCCAGTCACTGGTGTTCGCTATACTTTCACCTTTATGTTTCCTCCCATTCTTCTTCTCCATTCAGTATTCATGAATATACCCCATACACTTTTACTTTTCATTTCCCTCGATTTTGGTGTCCTATACACAGATCCAGTTGCACTAGGAACTTACTTGGCAAAATTCCCCTAGTAATAAAGTGTTCATATTCAAAGGTCCCATTTTTGGCTTAATGACTTTTACTAATCACAACGGGCATCATACATACACAGAAAATGCAAACCTAGATCAAAGAAAGTAAATTATTTATGACTTCTGTTCAGATCTAAACATGTTCACTTTGTCCTTTAATAGGCCTAATGTGTTCTTTGTGGCATTATTTATAATGATGGTACACCGTGACACACGGGAAGAGCTTTTGATGACATGAACATACTCGTTCTTTTTACTACAGTGCGATCGCAGGCTTATTCACACACTGCACGTCAGACACGAGATGGGTGGGGGCGCTCATGTCTGCTCTCCCAGCTGTTCCTCACTCTGTTTGCAGTGCTTTCACACCGGATTAGAGGAGGGGAGCCAAGGCGGGGGCAGGGGAGTTAAGTACTCTCCAACCCAGTTTTTCAAACTTCATCTGATTAACAGTTTAAGCAATCTCTTTGGACAACTCAGTTTTCTTGAAATATTTGGTCAGGCTCAAAGTTCTCCTCCCCTTTCCACTGTCTATGCACTGGGGCGGAGGGCTCTCCTTGTCTCACCAGGGCCTTTGGAAAGTTTCTCTCCCATATTCTCCTCACCTGTGATCTCTTAGCTCTGACCCCAGCATCTTCCTGTCCCCTGGTAGTCTCGAAGCCTACAAATCACTCAACCAGGACAAGCTGGACCAAAAATGCTGCCTTAACTGGTAGTAGGAGGAACAAGGAACTTGTTACTCAACCTCCTGAAACTATACCTCTCTTCTGCCTTCTTCTCATCAAGCCCTGGGGCCAAGATAAAGATTTTCCCTCCTTCCTATAGTGATGCCCTCCTCCCCCCTTTGCCTGATGTTATGGTCATCAGTAATTATGTAACATGAATACAGAAAAGTTTGGAATGATATATATCAAATTTTAGAATAATTTTTTTAAAATTGTATGAATAAAATGTTATTAGAGTTGTTTTTCAGTAACCACAACTCAGAACTTGACTTAAAAATAACTCCCCTTTTTGCAAGATGAATTTATCATTCATCTTTCACATAAACTTTGTTCAATCCTTCTGAGACTACTGCCTAAGAAACAGTAAGCCAACTGGCAGGTGAAACCCCAGGGGATGCAGGAAGCATACTTCCTCCAACTCTAACAAAGGCACTGGAAAAATATGCTATCCATCCTTACTTATCACAATAATTTTAAAGCTAAAAGAGTAGGGAGCTGTAGTTGCTGTTAGTGTCCATAAGCCCAGAAAAGAGCATCACGTTTTTGCTTTGCAAGGTTATCAGATCACTCCCCAAGTCAAGCGCACAGAACTAGTGTCAAAAGGTTTAAACACTGGCAAAATAACAGGGTAAACTCGTAGTTTTAAATATTGATTTTAATCACTGAATCTTCAAGGGCATTTGAAACATTTCTGGGCCTGTCTCTTGTTTTAAATAGAGATAAGTAAAAGCATTTTTCCTTTATTTGCCAGGATTTTACATTTAGTGTGCTAAAAGAGGAAAAGGTACTTTCTGGTGCAAGAAGGGTAGAAAAGGCTGGCATTAAGTGAAATGTGTAGACAAAACAAAAAATAGAATAAACAATCCACGTATTTTATAATATTCTTAACTGTTTCTTATAAAAATATCAATGAACTTCAACATGGTTGAAATTTTCATAAAGAAAATTTATTTCCTGGAACTGAATCATCTTATGCTTTTTCTTATAAAATATCTTCTTTTGATGTCAAATAATCCGTTAAAGCAAACGTATGTAGAAAAGTATGTAGAAATAACTTGTGAACAATGATTAACTTCAAAAATTCCTAAAAGTTCATCTTCAGTAAGTGTCCCTTCCAGTAGCCTACTACCATTTTTAAATTACTCATCAACTTTTTTGCTAAAAATTATTTTACAAAAGGGAAATAACTTACCTATAAGCAGGTAAAATACAGCCTACACTGAGCTTTTTCAAAATGATTTTTGGAAAAATATCTTAGGTAATTTTGGCCTGAAATTACCTACTTTCAAAACTTACACCTAGTCTTTGATGGTAAAAAATTAGTAAATATCAGCCGGTGTCCCTGCTACCAGAAATCTATCCTGTCAGACGGAAACAGGTCAAAGCTTGCACTTGAAACGAGTTATTACAGTCAGTATACAATCAGGATGATGCTGAAGCAGCCGCAGCAAACGCTCATGTGAAGGTCACGTGTCCCGGGTGCACCCGGGGAACAGTGAGAGCCGCTCAGACTTCCTGGGGCGAAGAGAGTCAGAAAGCCAGAGAAAGTTCAGACGCAGGCCATAAAATGACAGTGGGACACAGGGTCTTGCACTAACAAAGTGGCCAGGATGAAGCGAACACCCACGAGGTCCTGAAGTGCCAGGCAGAATGAAGAACCACAATTCAAATGAAGCAGCAACATGCAATAATAATGTCTGCTGTGGCTGCAAGGAGGGGACACGATGGCTTTCATCCACCAACTATTTGTCACCCTTGCTCCAAGAAATGGATGGGTCAGCCTGAGAATCTCAACAGGTTTAAGAAGAGATGAAATATATTTCTAGGAGGTTAGAAAGTTAGGAATGTGTGGGGTGTGCATCTTCAACCTTTCAAAAAAGGTATCCTAAATGGTAAGCATATTTTCTCATCCATCAGCAAAGGTTAATTTTGGAATGAATCATTGATTTGACCTTGGATGGCATTTCCTAAGCTTTTAAAATTATCTTCTCTTCCAGGTAACCAGGAAAAGAAATTCTGCATTACTAACTGTAGGATATGAAGAAGTTAACTATCAAGATTGGGGAAGGAAGTTAAAAGCTGTAAATGTACATATTATCATTTAATCTATCTCAAGAGAGATGGATTGCTTTCTCAAGGAAAACTGTATCCACTCTGTCAAAATTCTGCAAATTCAGGTGGGCATCAGGTGTTCGGAAGCCAGGCACACAGTCAACATTGAGAACCAGCACACAACTGGGTTTCAAACAGAGAATCCTGCATGATGACAGACACATTCTGAAGAAAAAGATGCTTATTTATCAAAACCTAAAACAAAATCAGTGAAACCTTGCGGCTACTCCTGGCTCAGAGTGAAGGTAATAGTAAACCAGGTTTGCTTCCAGGTGCCCTTAAAATAATAATCATAAATAATCATAGATCATTTGCAAGTGCAACGTGTTGGGGTTTTCTGAGGGGGTGAGCAATGTATCAGGAAGCAAATCTCTTCACATATTAGAATGTCCTTAAAAGTTGACCACGTGTGCAAGGAGATGCCAGTTCCTAAATGCATGGATGTGGACAGTATGTAAACACCAGTGAGGGTACATATGCTCCACACTCCGTGTGTGTAACACACACACACACACACACACACACACACACACACACACAATTTCAGGTCTTAGGCATATCAGTTTCATAAAAAATTACTGCTTATGTAGTAGATTGTTTTGATGCCAATTATTTCTGACTTTTTAAAGAAAAAGGTACTGGGCTTCACATATACACACCATAGAAAATCTTTTCTTGTTACTGCATAAAGCTACTTAAAGGAACACACTATACTGGTGGCTTGGGGGATAAGGCTGTACTTTGTGACACAGGCAATTCCTGTCCCCCCCACAGATGAACTATGCCTTCCTATAACCCATTCACTCTACCACACTGACCCCAGTGAGTGCTCAGGTGGATTGGCATCAAGGTAATCCAGTTCAGCCAGTTTTTAATGTGCTACTTAATGAAAAGTGAATTCCTCTGTATCTTTTTCAAATATTCCACTATCAAAATACTTGCTACAAAATCTTAATTTCAATAAAATATGAGCACCATATATTCACTGATTTATAATAAAGTGGGTCTGTGTTTTAGTAAATGTTCCCTGGATTTGCTTTATGGATTATGATTTTAAGCATGATTTTAATGCTGCTGAAAGATAGCAAAATATTACATTGACAGCAACATTTTAGCTGTAAACTTTAAAAATAAAAACAAAACAAAATGTTTCCCAATAATAGAGACAATCTTTAGGGACATGGTATTTGCCCCTGGCTACGAATCCCTGGAAACTCCTCACGTCGGTCTCACAAATGCCAAAACTTCATCCCTATTCCCGCCCCAACACTCCCCAAAAGTGAGAAGATATGATATCTGACAAGGACTTCAAATCGTGGTGACAAAGAAGTACCTCAAAGCAAAGAATGACAGCAAGAGAGGTACCTACTTCCACACCCCTGGAACTTCCAGAGGAAAATGTGCTTGTCAGAACTCTGCATGGTGAGTTGACCAAAGGCTCATGAAAAAAAAAACTGTATCAAAAGAGAAAATGGAAATCTAATACTCTCATCTCCCATAAAGTGCCCCCTCGACTCTCTACAATTCAGCTGTGTTCTAGCTACTGCAGAGAAGGTCGTTTCTGATGGGGAAAGAGAAACAAGTGAACCCTCCATTTCCTGTGGGGGAGCAACTGCCTCTCACCCTTTGCATCACCCACTTTTTAGACTGGTCTTTTCAAACCAGCCAGAGAAGAGCTGCTGAGGTTAGATGGTCCGAGTCTCTCCGCACTCTCAGAAGACCCACCTGGATCATGGTAGCCTCCAGACAAGAGGTATAAAGCAGCCTAAGCTGTATTTGAAGGACTCTTCTTTGGGTCCCCAGATTTTACATCCTGTGTCACCTCACAGGTAGAGGCCTGGGGAAAGGGAGCCAGGGTTTCGTTTTTCTCTAATCTAGGCAAATGAGTAGTTGAGACTCACATACCTGCTTGTTTCCTGGATGAAAAACCCAGCAGAGTGTGGGCTCAGTTATTTGAGTCCCTTGCCCCTTCCTACAGTTGCTGAGCACAGGGTTTCAACCTCCAGTGACTGTGTGAAGCTTCAGAAGCCCAGACAGACCTCTTGAACTTACGCCATCTGAGACATGAGCAACACGTGCAGCATTCACAACTTTTTACAGTGTGTAACTCCCTGGAACTGTATTAAAAGCCCAAGAGGTAAGAGGAAGTTCTACATTTATTATTTTTATTTCCAGTGCATCAGTATTTTAGGAAAGTATCAGATATACATTTTTAAGTCTATGAGGAAAAAAGAGGTAACAGTTGCAATTAGATGAATTTTCAAAAGCAAAAAGAAAATGGCCAATTAATAAACATATTTGAGGTTTGACGGTGAGATTCTGCACAGGTACAAATCAGGATTAAAGATTCTCTTATCGATATGTATTTTTCCTATTATCTCTTGAAAAGCTTATCAAAAAGGATAACAACTAAAAGTATGACAACTTCCTTCACGTATTAGGTCAGTGATGGGGAAGGAAGCACACACTGATTTGACTGAACTTACTTACATTCAAAGATCTGGTCCCACACAGGTAGGCTCCTCCTCTGAAAGCATCTCCACTCGAACCCTCCACGAGGCTGACACACAGAATGTCATTTCTATATGCTAGGAATGTATATACCAGGTCTATCTCAATCCAAGGTTTAATAACCATAGCTTCTGTTCTTATATACAGTGCATTCTAAAATTTGGCAAAGATCTAGGAGTGCTCTGTCACTTAAAATGTTATCAGTGTTTTCCGGCCTGGGGGTGTGGTCTTCAGAGGCACACCCCTCCTCTCGCTCCTCCACCACTGCTCTCTTCTTCTTACCACCGTTCCCTCAACTTGTCCTTCTTCTCATTTTTAGATATGCCTGTCCTCTTCTCCCTTGTTAGTTTATCTTCTGTGACAAACAAAAACTCTCAGTACCTATTGCTGGTAATGACAGAGAAAGCCTGTCACCCCCTGTGGACGTGGAAGGACCAAGGAGCAACCCTTTGTAAAACCTCAGGGGGCTGCTCAGAAAGTTTCTTCCCTTTGATTCTTTCCTTCTCTGCATGACTGGAGCAATGGCACCCAGATCTCTTTTATGGTCTAGAACTAAATTAGTTGACCTCCCTGGGTCTGTTACCTCTTCGGTAAAAAGACAAAAGTCTACTACTGACATTATATTAACTAACTGATTCATTCAATAAATATTTATTCTATTGAGCCAAGTACTCTTAAGTTACTTCAACTTACAAAACCAAAGTTCTACACATCTGGATCCCCTGAGAACCATAGTTAATAACTGGTGAATGAAATATCTTTTAAAAATCCAATTAATATTAATAGAGCTCTACAAACAATAAATCCTCATCGCTGTTTTTTCCCATGAATTTCCATTCTCTATATAAGCTTCTGCAAATGCCCTCTACTTTCCACTGGAGACAACCCCTTCTTGGTTGCTTGCTAAACAAAAGGGTTCTCTGTGTTATTGGAAAGAATGACCTATCAGAAGTCACTATAGAACGCAGAATTCAAGTTACAACTGAACATCATTTGTGTGGGCTTGTGCTCCTATATGCATCATTTCTTCCTCACACAATTGTTTGAGAAGGTGCTGCCTACTCAACTTTACAACTAAAATTCACTGTTCCTTGACACATGTGCATTTCAGTGCATACCTATTTCAGATGTGTTAGTGGAATTAGGAATTATATTATAATTGAGTCAAATGTGAAAATATTTTGTTCTCATTTTTAATATTTTATGTATGTCTACCTTTGCAAAGTATCCACTAAGGAAGGAGCTGGAATTGAGTAAGAGTAGTATTAAAAGAAGATTATTTCTTAATATATAGTACACTGGCTTAAACTTCTAATTTTAAATCTTGATTAAAATGTGAATTGACTTTTGATTTCTACAGTTCTTGCCTGACACCTGTGGCTTTCATTGTGAACACTGTAAAGGAGCGGCATTCGCATCTTTTAGAACACAGTTTCTGCTCTTTCCCTTAAAGACTGAGGTCCTAAATTTCTCCAGCAAAGTCGCTTCTGTGTGTATGTGCCTATACTGTATGTAGGTTATTGTAAGTCTGTCTGAAGTAGGACAATTCTCCTGGTAGCCAAGGTTAACTCAGGAGACTACTTTAAATAGAGAAGTTCTAGGACAGCTGTGTGACATAATTAGCAACAAAATGGCTTAAGACTAACTCTAACTTTACTAACTATTAAAGACTTGTAGGAGTGCTTTGCTATGATACATTTCTTACAAATTCTTCAAAATGTGAAGTCCTCTCATTATAATAATTTTATAGTTTATTGGTTTTCCATGTAGTATCTATATGTATCAAGGAGATACACAAACTGCTTCTGAAGATAGTACTAAAGGGACAAGTAATTAAAAATATATTTGCTTATTAAATTTTCTTCAGGGACCTTGTTACTAGTTAAGAAACCAAGTTTATCATTCACTATGTTATACAAATAAGAACACCAATTAAAGGCAAATGATGAGGAGAGAGGAAAGAGTGCAGTGATTTCAGTAGCCAGACCTTCTGTCACCAACCTCAGGGACCGAACGACCCAAGAGCAGAGAAGTCTATGGAGGGACACAGCTTTCAAAAGAGATTCATTCACACAGTCTCAGCAGCACAGACAGGACCATTTAAAGTGTCTTTAACAGAAAATGATCGGTTGTACCGTATCATAGTAATATTTCTGTACAAAGACACATTATGAGAGACTCAATTTTTAAAACAGTGTCTGTAGTACACAAACACTAATCAGCTGGGAATTATTTCTGAGGTACTCTTTCCAGGAAAAAAAATCACTGAACATTCAGTTCAAAAGTTAGTGTCTTTTAAAATCAGGGGAAAAAAAGAGCACAGAGAATAATTTTATTTTCTAATTTTATTCTAAAATACAAACAAGACTCTGTAGGATTATGTCAGCATAACTCCTTGATGTAGTTTGGTCTCCAAATCCCTAACTGAGAGTCATAAATATTGGGCTACAAACTGCTGACATTTGATCAAAACTAACAGCACACAAGGAAAACTTTTTTTTAAATTATCAGTTACACGAAAGAAGCAATTACTAAGTATAAAGGCTTTTGAATTACAAAGCTTATAAAACAGCTCTACAATTACCAAAATCACAAAGGCCAAAGGTGATGCTAGGAATTTTTTAAAAACAAGGATGTTTTAAAACAGAGCACTAGTTTAAACCATATGAAACACTTGGACAAGATTTTGATATAAAATCACAAATTGAGATGAAGTTGAAGGTATATTTGAATTCAGTTTAGCTAAGCCACAGTGCCACCTAAAACCCATTTCCTTTTCTAAATGAAACAAAAGTTATCTCAAAACTTTTAAGCATTACATGATCTGAATTTCCTTTATTTGTCCATGGAATATAAGAAAAATGTTCTTAAAACAATACAATGTAATGGAAAAGAAAAACAAATCTGTGCAGAATACTATGAGTTCCTTCTTTATCACAAGTACATCAGTTACATTAAGGCTCTTTCTAGAATGCCGGAACTTCAGGCTAATGGCTTTATCCAAACTAA